AATAAAGTATGTTTTGAAAGTATACATTTACCATATTTTTGGAGTATAAGACACACCTTTTTCCTTCAAAAAAGAGGCTGAAAATCTGGGTGCATTTTATACACTGAATACAGCATTTTTTGCCTCCTGAAATCCTGCCCCCTTCACCAAAATGGCCGTGCAGAGCCTTTAGGAGGCTTCCAGAGAACTCCTGGGAGCTGGGAAGGACAGAAATGAGCAAAACATGGGCCATTTTTTGCTCATTTTTGGCCCCCCCCCCCTTAGGAACACTATACAAGCCTCCTAAGGGCTATTCATGCCCCTTTTTGGGGGGGGGAGACGGGTCCATTTTCACAAAAAACGGACCATTTTTCGGAGGTTTGCAGAGTGCAAAAACTTTTTTTTATTTGCCTCTTCAAAACCTTGGTGCATCTTATACTCCAGTGCATCTTATACTCCGAAAAATATGGTATATATGAGACAGTGTTGATTTATGTTTTATTTGGTAACCATTTTATTTAAATATGAGAGCCAGCAGTGTGCGGCAGCAGCCATAAAAGCCAACAGAAACCTAGATTGCATTAACAAGAATCAAGATCATGTGAAGTATTAGTACACTTTATAAAGTCTTACTAAGATCGCACTTAGAATATTGCATTGTTTTGGTGATCATATTATAAAAAACATGTAGACTCTGTAAAGAGTGCAGAGAAGAGCAACAAAGATAATTGGGGGACTATAGGCTAAAACATATGAAAAAGGTTGCAGGAATTGGGTTTGTCTAGGCCATTGAAAAGAAGGACTAGGGGTGACATGATATCAGTGTTACTGTATTTGGCAGGCTGCCACAAAGGAGATGGGGGTCAACCTATTTTCCAGAGTATCGGAAGGCAAGACAAGAAACAATGGATAGAAACTAATCAAGAGAAGCAGCCTAGAACTAAGGAGACATTTCTTGACAATAAAAACAGTTACTCAGAGGAACAGCTTTGCCTTCAGAAGTTGTAGATGCTCCATCACTGGAGGTTTTAAAGAGGAGACTGGGCAGCCACTTGTTTGAAATGGTATAGCGTCTTCTCCTTGAGTAGAGGTTTGGATTAGAAGACCTCCAATTCTGTTATTCTGATATTTTGTTATTTCCTGTGTAAGAATTTTTTACAATACAGAAAATAAAACTTATGCAAAGAGTAAAAATATTTAAGGTGTCCTTTCCAGGTAAGTGGTGAAACCAATTCTGTTTACAGTAATCCATTCTGTGTGCGTGCGGGTGTGCACACTTCTGTTTCATACAAAGCAAGCTGACCCTGATTTATATTCCTGGTAGGAGTAACCTAGCAACGTCACTGAGGAAGTTATTCTCTGGAACCTCTCCTAAGGCATTCTGTTAAACATAAAAACAGCAATTGGTAAAACAGAGGTCAAGAACTGTTTAACAGCTTCTTCAAAAGAGACTATTGTTTTTTGTTGACTTCAGAAAAACGATCTCAGAGATTTGTTTTTTAAGCCTTTAGCTGTAAATTGTCAGAGCTGTTCTGGAAGATTAGCTTTGCTGTAATTTCTAACTCCAAATTATATCATGTTGCTCACACATGGCCAGGGTAGGCGTGGCCAGCTAGATGTCACTCATTGAGCCTCCGTTTTCAGCTGCTACGGCCTCTTACAGCCCTTTGCCAGCGAAAACGGAACCTGGGCAGGCCGCACAAAGCTTCACTGAGCTCCGTTATTGCTGGCAGAGGGCTGCAGGAGGCCGTCGCGGCTGAAAATGGAATCGGGGCGGGCTGCACACAGCCTCCCCAACTTCCATTTTGCTGGCAGAGACACTGCAGGCCAGTCCTTCGCTGATGGGTCTGTGGGCCAGATCTAAGCACCTTGCAACTTGGATCCGACCCACGGGCCTTGAGTTTGACACCCCTGCTCTAAACTAACATGTAGGTTGGACGCTTCATATAATTCCAAGAAAGACTTTAATGGTCTTTCTGTCAGGTGGATGTTTTTAAAATATGAACAGAATAAATACTTGAAATAACATGCA